TTCTCTCTCAAATAAATAAATAAAATCTTTAAAAAAAAAAAACAAAAAACCCTTTAAAACTGCCAGGTACAAAGATAGAACCCAAACCTTGCCTTGTTGACGTAATGAGTGGTAACTGCCAAAATGTACGTTTCTTCTATATCTTTTAATTGAACCATTGAAGTAACCTGTAGAGTTAATTGTTCTTTTATAAACAAGGAAACTGAGGTTTAGGGAGTAACCTGTCTTGCTCAAGGTCACACAGATAGTAAGTAGGGAGCTGGGATTTGACACCAAGCCTGTCTGACTCCAAAACAGGATTCAATCTGTAGCATTTTGCTGTTCTCTTTACCTGGGACCTGGGGAAGACTTGGGAGTTGGGCATTACCTTCCTTTTTTAATATGTTTGCTTTGTGCTTATATTTGAAAACTCTCTTGAATTTGATTCCCTTTTTGAATTTCACAAAGGGTTTTGTAGATGTGCACTTTTGTGGGAGGGGAGCCAGGGAGGGGCTGAAGCACTATATCCGCATCACTGGGAAACTAATGCACTGTACATGTCTTTCAGATGTAGCCAGTTGCATCTTAAGTCTTAGCTTCTGTTTATCCTGTCTTCCACCTGATACATAGTAATGAGTGTTAAGTACCCACCTGTCCAAAGAAGCAACCTGGATGGTGAGAAGACTAGCAAATGGGGGTTGGCTAATTTCTAAAGTGAACACTCTAACTTTATATGATCTGGAGGTAGTTCTGATCCTTGAAAGTAGAGGCTTTTGGTGATCCCTGCTGTCATCACCACAAAAAATTTTGACATCATGCTGTAATGTCTTATGTGTCAATACATCTGAGGTCATTTTTTCTTGCATATCTTCAAAATACTCAATATTGAGTGCTATTGTGTCATTCTAGGAAGGCTTTGAGAAACACTCCAGATGTTCTGTAAATAGGCTGCTTTTTGCTTTTAGTATGGTGAACACTGACCTAATACAGAATTGTTCCTTTGCCTGTTTCCTCCCAAGGAGTTACATCCCCAGTCAAAGGACAATTCAAGGAATATAGCTTACATTCCGCTAAGGAAATGCTTCTTTAAAAATACACTGCCTTTGGGAGAAATGAAAATATAAATTGAGTTAATGTTGATTCAAACTCTAAATTCTGTCCTTTGTCTTAAGCACATTTCAGGGGACAAATAGAGCATTTTGTAATTGGAAGACATCTTTGAGCTCCAGAAAAGAAAAATCAGATCAACAGTTTGCTCAGTTTCTGATAGTTTGAAGTCTTACATATTCACTTGTTTAGACAAAAAAAAAAAAAAAAAAAAGACATGACCTAGGCCATCTTGTAGGTAATGGGCTAATCCGATCCTAAGGGAAGATAGATGGTACACAAATGGAATTGGACTTATTATAATGCATTGGCAACCTCTATGATTTCTTTGCATTTCAAAAGTCGTATTTTGTTTTTGGCAAGGGCAAGTCATATAGCTAATTGAAAGAAAATATATCTTAAGTTAAAGGATGACTGGTCTTCTGGACTAGAATTCAAATTTATGTTTACTTTTTACCCTCTTTGAGCCTCTAAACATGCCCCATCAGTGATGCTGGGTGGCATACAAGTCTACTGTAGGAAGGTGTCAGTAAACACTGAAAACTTACTGTGTACCAGGCACTGGCTGGAGGAGTCAAATGGGCAAGGCAGCACTTTCTTTGGAAGAGGCATAGATGGGATACCGTGGCTGGGATCAGAGACAGTCCTGTAGAGAAGGTGATGATTCAAAGGACCACTAGAATTAAGTTGTTTTAAGTCTGGGAGAGGTGGGTAGAGTGTAGGGCCAATGTGCATATAGGCAGCAAGAGAAGAATGTGCTGCATTGGGAGAGCTACAAATACTCAAATACTTCCTTCTGGCTGTAGGGTAGGGAGTTGGCAGGGCTGAATGGAAACAGATGAGGCCAGAAAGGTATGCAGGGGCCAGATCTAGAAGGGCCTCCTTGTACGTGGTCAAGGCTTTTTGTTTTGTTTTAAGCAGAGTGGTGACATAGATTTTAATTTAAGAGGTAAGAACTTTGATTAACTTCTTATTCTTTAGAGAAGAGGCCATTCTCCCCGAAGCATGGCTTCTACCTCACTTTGATGTCCTCAGCACTTCCTGTAACTGCTGTCATTATGGAATATTTACAGTGGCTGTGGGTAGTGGGCAAATAACAGTTATTTTGGAGCTACCTGGTGCTGATTTCTTTGTCTATCCCTATAGTAAAGAAGGCATTTAAGACTTGTGGTATGAGAAAGCACAAATCCCCGTGTACTATGCCTAAAGGAGCCATTTCTAAGCTATTCCGGTCTTTCTGGGAAGATTGGGTCCTAAGGACTGTGATGTGCTCAGTGCGGACTTTCTATAAAGCAGTTGGCCAGTTTAGACATGATCATGCTGTGAGCAGTCTGTCCCTGCGACTCTGGAAAAAGATCTGTTTTACTATGGTTTCAAAGAAGGTACGATAATGAGCTTTTCACTATAACTTCTCAGCTCTTTTCATTGAGGCTGCATGGGGGGCCTGTTACCAGCATGCTCTGGGTGTTTGAGAGAGCTGCCATGGTTGCTGTGGCCTGGAAATTCAGGCAGTCACAGGCCTTCTTGCTTTTCCTTATACAACAGGAGAGAACTTAGTGTATCTCTCTGAAGCTTTCAGTAAATTCCTACAAAGAGAAAAGTCACTGCTGTCTGGATCTGATGACTTAAACGTATTATTGGGGCCAGCCCTTTCTTTCCAGTTCTCACCTTTATACTGCGGTGGCTTCCCCACAGTAATATCCCTTTCTGGCTGTACCAGGTAGAAGCCTTCACAAGGTATGGTGTGTTCTTTCCTGCACACTTGCCCCACAGGAGTAGAAATTTTTTTTCTGTTGGGACAGTTACTGACTTGTTGGTTTCCTAGGAGAAGACTGAGTTTAGCTACTTATAGCTGTGGCCAAAATACAGAATGTATTTTTTTTTTTTTTTTTA